TGCTGATTAATCTGGCCACACAAAAATTAAACATGCTGGACCAGCTGGTGGCATAGTGGTTAAAGAGGCTGAATCCCACATGGCTAACTGCAGAGTTCGAGTCTCAAACTTGGCAACTTAGAAAACATGCTAGGCACATATGCCAAAATCCTGAGAAGAGAATGGAAACGGGATTATAGAATGACCATACCTCCCCGCACCGGGGAGAGGGGGCAATACTTTCTCACTTTCTCTCTCTCACTTTCTCTGATGATCGCATGCTCCCTATAGCAAATTTTAAAAAGAAAAAAAAAATTAAACACATCCTTACCAAAACAAAATACTAGAAACATTAAAAGATAAATAACAAATGTGGGTAGAGACTGTAAAAGATTAAACGTTTATGCATAGAGTTAATAGAAACAGAATAGCAATTATCCCAACAGAAAACACTGGCAAAGAGAACAAGTTGACAATGTGAAGAAAAAGGAGGAAAGAAAAGAGAATTTAAATTCTCCAAACATGAAAAGCAAAAGGATTATTAATCTTACCTGGTAATCAAAGAAACAAGTGTTAATGCTATCTTTTTTTTTTTTTTTCCTTAGAATAGCAAAAAAGAGAAACACTGCTAATCCCCAAGGGGAAAAACTTTCACATACTCCTGGACCCAGTAAAAACTGGTCTTCAGGACCAGCAGGTGGTGTGGTCGTTAAGGCACTGGATACTCCCACATGGCCAACCACGGTTTGAGTCCTGGACCTGGTGGTTTGCTTTCTCACTTTCTTTCTCTCTCTCTCTCTGTGTGTATGTGTCTGGTCAAATTAAAATAAATAAATGAATAAATAAAATTAAATGAATAATTCTTTAAAAACAAAACAAAACTGGTCTTCCCTTTCCTGGCCCACTGCATTTAAAATAGGTCTCCCATGTTTCTTTCTCCTTTCACTCATATGTTCCTGTCTATTGTTAGTTTCTCCACTTCGCCGATGTCCAATTACCCCACAACAGTAGAGGCCACACCCAACTGATCCCCACTATATAACCAGCACCCCAGACAGTGTCTGGCTTATGGAAGGATTTGATTTATATCTAAGTGGGTTGGCCACATGTATTAAGGGATTTGACATGGACACCCTTCACTTGGTCATGTCATTCCTAGAAATATAGCCTAAGGAAATAATGCCAAGCACAAAGACAAATATGCAAAGGTATTCATTGTTTAACTGCCGATGTTTTTAAATGGAAATACCTCCATACCTTGCGATAGTAAGTAAATAGAGAATATATTATCTACATGCAGAAGTGCTGCAACGCAGTGATTCTCAGCACTGACTGCTCATCAAAATTGCAAGGGGAGGGGCTTAAAGACAAAGTAATGCCTGAGCCACATACCCTCCATGGCCACCTCTCCCCCTCCTTCCATTGCCCCCCCATACACACATAAATTTGTAGGGGCCCCAGCTCGGGTGTCCATATTTTTAAAGAGTACCCATTGAATCTAAGGCACAGCCCAGGGTGAGAACTGCTGTTGTAAATTTAGCCTCAGGTCTACGGGATGCTGGCAACATGTTCCTAAATTTAAAAAGCAGGTTAAAGCAAAACAGTATATGGATCATGATCCCACTTCTGTAGGAAAAAAAAGGAAAGAAAAAAGAAAGTGTTTCTATATGGCTGTATGTGTGACTACATTCCTCGAAAAAGGCTGGGAAGATGTGTACCGGAACACTCACTTGCAAAGATCTCTCAGTGCTGAAGTTACAGATATCTTGGCATAAAGCATACATTTTAATGCTTTTATAATTAGAATAAAAACAAAGAATTTTTTATTTTTAAAAGAGATGACTCAAGGGCCAGCCCATAGTATAGTGGTTAAGATGGCTGGATCACACTTGGCTGACTGCATGGTTCAAGTCTATGACCCAGTGGCTTGAAAAACATGCCAGGTGCATGTCTGCATGCCCAAAGTTCCAAGAAAAGGGTGAAATGGAGGAGAAGGGGTCGTGGAGTAACTATCCCTTATGGGAGATACTTTTTCTCTGCTCTGTCTCTTTCCAGTGAGTGCATGCACCCTCTGGCAAATTGGAGAGAGAGAGAGAGAGAACCTGAAAACCTGGTAGCCCCTGGTCTTGTCTTAGTCTTTGCTCCACCTAAAAGTACCAAAGTCAGGCGTTCTGCAACCTGCCATGCTCTCCCTTCCTTAGTTTTCTCTGCTGAAATCACATCTCAGTGATTAATTACTCCCCACTAGCAAGCTAAGGCTTACTCTTATTAGTAAGCCACATTAGGTTTGAGATGACAAGCTGCGACCTACTGAGATGGGTTAATGCTGCCACGCCCCCACCCCTCCCCCAGCTTATAGAGCTGCTCAGCAAAAAAACATTCTGGAAACCCCTCTCAGCATCATGGGGACGCCAAGACAGGAAGAGATAAAGGGGCTTGTCCAATACTATGCAGCTGTCAGAGAGGGAGAAAATGGGAGAATGTGAGGGATGAGGGGAAGAACAGGAGCTCTTTGGCTCTGATATGAGGAAGAGGGCAGAGAATTCTGTATGTGCACCTGCCAAATAAGGGAAATGGCTCTAGATGCCATAAACATTAAGAGGAATAGAGGACATTTAAGATCATATAAGTCACAACTATGCTTTTCAGTTGAAATTTACCTGGCACTTTGTTAAATTGCCCTCTTATTTCCTTTTTCCTTTTCTCTGCATACCAAATTTGATATATTAATTAGGTGTTTTAATCTAAAAAATTCATCAGAAGGTCTTGCATTACCATGGCAACTGTGCAGTTCCAGTAAATGCAAGTCACCAGCACAACACCATCGCCTCCTTAAACCGGTGCTGCAGTGGGGCCAAGAGAGTGATGTGGGGAATGAATTCACTAACCTAAAAGAGAGGTGGGGTTCAGTCATCTCCCTGAAAGACTCTCCTTCCTCCTTTCCGAACTGCATTCAGTCCATCTAAATAGCCCCCTGGGCTTCACATTCAATAATACCATTCAATGCTCTCTCTGCAAACACCATGCTGTGACTCTGCTGTATTGTGCTTCGCTGATGATACAAAAAAAGGTAGAATGAAGCGGTCACCCACGGTCACCCACTCAGAGGACATCCTCAGCCTTTGAGTCTTGGGCCAGGTTTGGCCTCTCAATCTCACCAAACAAGCCCCAGTTATATCCTGATGTGTTCTGTTTGGGGATGAGGCTCCTGTGCCCAGTGCTAAGCTAGTGATGGTCACGCATCATCAAGCGCAAGCACCTATAAGCCAAAGTCAATTAACCACCCCACGCCAGCCCAGGACAGCTGGCACCTCTGCTATTCTACTACAAGCCAATATGGGGGTAAGGGAGATGTGCGAACAATTCTCACGCCAGCCTGTGAGCACCAGGGACACACTCTGCGCTTTTTCCCTTTTTAATGATCCTTGAATTCTAAGACATAACACACAGTGAACAAGTAGAAAAAGTCTACCTTAACAAGCAGCCCTGGTGTTATATCAATTTCTCATCTCCACATTTGCTGCCTCTGAGAGCACAATGCTAAGGCACGGAAGAGTGGCCAAGCTCTTGGCTGCTACCAGCAAGTGCTGAAATCAGATGGGTTTCTCAGACATTTTCTCATCCTACAGCCAGAAACTAGATGCAAATCTCCCTCCTGATTATCTCCTGGGCTCACTCTGGGCTTTCTTTACTTTGAATATTTATGTTAAAAACAGAAACACGTAACATGAAAATTCCCTACAGTGGGTTCTGCTGTCCCGAAGTTCAGAACGCAAAGACAGGCACCGCGGAACATACTGGGCCTGGTCTAGGTGGTCCTGAATGCCTCTCCCCTGCTGACCACCCTTCGTTGGCGGAACCCTGGCATTGCCTGGGCAGCAATACATCAGGTTCTCTATAGCTGTACCTGTGAAGAGTACCGGAGGATGGCCTCACATTCACCAGCGTTGGCCTGAGGTTGTATTATGATAACTTCCTATCATGTTTACATTGTTTATTGGAGATAAATAGCTTGGGCTCTTGAGCTGAGCTGTACTATACAAGATCTGTCATACCTCTGCAAGCTGCCTACAAATGAGAAATGCATATTTCAACTATTTTAAGAAAATGTCAAAAAATCAAATGTGTCATCACGGTACCATTTAAAATGATCTGTATGACATCTGTAGAAAAGAGCTATACGTTTCTGTGTGAATTTATTGCACAATCCCAAAGGCCCAGACTGCATAGACCCCTTCCCTCCCTGGACTAAGTCAAAGGTCCCGGCTGCCCAGCAAGGCCCCAGGTGGTGTGCCTGCACCGGCCTCTCCTGTCACCAGGTCTGGTAGCCCACCTCTGCACATCACTCAAGAGACATGCGTCCTCTGGGTTGGCAGCTTTCTCTACAGAGGGACTTGACTTCTCGCAAACTTGATCCCTAGAGAGCAGGTCTCTGCACAAAGGCAAGGCTCTATGCCATGGCATTTCCAAGTGCAAAGGCTAGGCACGCTGGTGGCGATATGGCCGCATGGTCACCTGGGAGACTGAGTGCTTGCAGGGGCCAGGGCTCCCCGCACCACCTGTGGGGCAGGCAACACACTTAACAAACTCCAGAACACCACAGGTGAGCGCCTCCTGGAAATGCAAAGAAACAACTCAGCCGCACACAGACCCTAAAAGGA